AACAGATAAAATAAAGTTTTTTCTTAAGAAATGTTTGATAACTATCCAGAAATTATAAAGATTTTGTGCGTGAAATTTCAAATTTTCTGATGAATAAAAGTATTTTTTATTTTAAAATGAAAATTATTTTGCATGATAGATAGGCAAGATGTTAAAAACAAAAGGCCTGAAAGAGATATTGCTTTACAAACCTTAAGACCTAATAAAAAATTAGATGTTTTGTGTATGAGAAACATTGTAATGTTTACTGATAATCTGCCTAATTTCATTAACATTTGTTTACTAATTTAAAAGTTATAGCATGAAAACTATAACAAGCACAAAATGGTTATGAGGTCAGTCCCAGGGACCGAGCTCGGGCAGAATAAGTGAAATATAGAAATACTTTTATTTGTTTTACAGTTTTTGAGTTTTATTTGCATAATCTGTAGAACTTGTTAAATGAATATCAAAAGTTTTTATAAGGTAAATATTTTATTTTTCATTTTCTCTATCGTATCGCTAACTCTAGCTATTATCATCAACATACAGTGATTTTTTTCCCCCAACAAAATTCACAATTTTAATGCTAAGAAATAAAAAAGTAGATTCTTTCAAAATGATATTGAACACATTATAAATGTCTTTACCAAGATAATCAATTAAAAAAGACTATGTCTTTATTAAACAAACATTAATTACAAAGAGAAAGCCAACTATAAATATTCAGACGTCTATCTTGGAGTATCTGAAAATTCAAAGAATTTGTAAGCAAAACAGAAATAAAGATATGTATATTCACATATTAGAGCAACATTTGTACTTCCACATAATTTTTTAACTTATAAGCTTATATTTGCGAAAGAGGAAAAAAAAACACCATTACAGAAAAACTACAAACTTTAATGTGTGACTATGTATATATTCATTACTTATATTATAAGTGTACTTCAGTATCCAAGAATTAAGTGCTATCCCACATCAAAAACCTTCAGAACAACAAAATTAAAATGTTCTATTATGCACAAACAAGTGAATGTGGCCACTAGTCCACTACTAATCAAAAAACAGTTTCAGGAACTCAAACAACACACTAGACTAACACTAACCAATAAAACAATAGCAGAAAAAAAGTTATATAAGACACACTGGATTGACCCTGTAACTATATTTCATGAACTATAAGTGAAGGAATAGAAAGAAAACAAAAGTCCAACATATCAATTATCAGAAAATTGTCTAAGAAATTCAAGTACAGACATTTGTAAAATTTGCCAATGTACTAATAAATGAAAATCACAGTCAGATCTGCAAAAAGAACACAAGCCTGCTAGTTCAGAAAAACTAAAATGGAATATTCATTCCAGTCTCAAACTGCCCTTGACGGCATCTAAAGAAGGCAGCTGAAATGTTGAACGATTAGTGAGTAATAAACATTAAACATATTAACATTTAAGTGACTGGAGGCCACTAATCATGCTTATGAGTTTGATGTTTTAGAAAAGTTATATATATGTGGTGTAATGGAATAATTAATTTTGTAATTTTTCTTTGGATTGTTTACACCATGTTTCTGGAATTTGAAAGAGGTTATGCACATGTAGTGTGATGGAATCATTAACTTTGTAATCATTTTTTTTAAAATTGTATACACCATGTTCTGGAATTAAAAAAAAAGTTACACGCATGTGGTTAGTGGAATCACTAACTTTAATTGTTCTTATTCAACATACCATGTTTCTCTAACTTAGCTTATTAAACCTCGTTTATGTATATCTGCAAAGTACAATTTTAAAGCCACTACTTTATTCATTGGTACAGTTCAAAAACTAAGATGCATTATGTATTTTAGTAGGAAAACCTGTACATTCAAATGAGCAAACAACAGAATACTTTACTTAAATGTATACTCTGCTTATCTAATTGAAAATTCAGGAAACAAAGGCTCTTCATAATTATTGAATATATAACATTTTAAAATAGATTCTGGAACTTGTTTTAAATAGTAAAATATTTCAAAACAAATACAAGAAGAATCCAGTAAAGCAATAACTACTATACTTCATGGAAATTATATAATCTATTTAAAAAAGACAAGGAGACAACATTTACATGTAAATCAATAGCATTCTTCCTTTTAGCATCATAGTGATAAATGTCTGCTATGTTTAAAATAGATTCAGTGCAGCAACTGTGAACTGTAAGGTGGTATGCTTCCAGTTAAAAAAAAATTAAAAAGTTTTATAATAACAATCTGATATAAAAATATAACTTCTAATGGCTTTATTGCATGTTCTACTCGACATAACTTAGAATTCACCACTATTTTAAACCCTAAAATTTTAAAGCTTTTATGGAAATAAAAACACATATTTGTTGTCATTTTCCAAAATGTAGACTTAATTTTATATAGTTATTCCAATTCACTAAACATAATGTAACATAAAATCATTAACCCTTTCACAATGGGTACCCCTTTATATCCCTTTCTATACAAGTCATTGAGTTACATTCAAAATTTAATTAAGCAACTTTATTATCAATGTATATCAATGAAATTAACATTATAATGTATTCTATAATTCAAAGTTTTATATTATATAAGCTTTAATTCATTTGTTTCAAAAGAAATCTTTAAAAAAATACTTAAACTTCAGTTTTGTTGTCACATGACCCATAAGCTATGAAAAATCTCAACTTTTGCACTCTCTACTTTGAATCAGATAACCCCAGTTCTGTAGATGTATGTCTAGACAATAAGTATGGTTACTTGCCCTAAACTAGAGATTAGTTTAAACTAGAGATCAATTTTTCCAACCCCTGACAGGTGTTATGCCTACATTCTATACTATTCCTCTATCTTTACAAGTCACATGTAGTTACTTGACACATGTATATATAGTCACAAGAAAGTGCTAATTTCACACTATAATCCAACAATAATTATCTTGAAATTGGCACTCAGTTCTTGTCATCAAGTAGATGTAGCTTCCAGCAGTATTGTTGGCTGCTTCGTCTATGATAGCATTTAGTGTTGTTTCTTAACTAAATATGTTATAGTTAGATAGACAGTTAAATTGCATTGAAGTTCTACTTTTATATCTCAGTTAATTATGTATTATTTATGTTTTGAAATGCATAATTGAAATATTTAAACATTTTTTTAAATTTATCTCAAACAGTGCCCCAATTCTCAAAACTTACAATCTTGAGCAAGTTTAAGATAATTTTGCTGAAGGACTGCGCATCTCTCCCAAAAATACTGTAATATTTCTAGAGGGTGTCATTGACTTGTGTTGAGATGAATAATAAATGGTAAATGAAAGGATTGGAAAATAAAGCATTTACAATTAAGTATACGTGAAAAGGAAAATAACTGAAATTACAAATGTCACCAAATGAAGATCTTTTAAGATATTCTATGAAACATTTTAAGGTATGTACATTTTTCTATTTCTTAATTTTAAACATTTCATTGTTTTTACACACTATAGGTATTTTTAATTCTGTATAAATCTTTTAACAACATGTATTGGTTTTAACTCATTGTATTTTTACATTTTACATTAATTTACTTTCTTTGTTTTTACCGGTTGTTTGGCGCAGATAGCCTTGCTGCTTTGTGCCATAAAACACCAAACACCAACCAACCAATCATTGACTTAGGCTGGTTTTGGAGAATTATATTCCTCATCAGAAAGCCTATACATGGGCAAACAAAAGAAAAAGACTCAACATATATATGTAATTTCTTTCACCTTCATCATACTATTCAATAATCTGTTACCTTGAACTAAACATGTACCCATGACAATTTTTCATTGCTTGACGAAACACCCCTTTTCAATTAGAATTAGTCAACATCACAGCCACCTCGACAAACACTTCCTGCTCATGTGACATGTACATCTTTTTCATATTTATTACCCTACTCTACATTCTTGAACTTTTACCCTTTCTAATCCTGAAGAAAAATAGTAAACTATTCAGTATTGCTCAAGTTTCTGGATCTTTTGAAGTCTTCATAATATGGTCACATTAAACATACTATGCTCAAGATTTTCTAATTCACCTTTGTCCTCAAAACCCAACAATACATTCACTTGAAAAACAGAAACTAAAACCAAACTGGTTAGGAAAAAAAACAAGAATGGATTTCTCACTACAGATAAAACTAACTCTTTAACCCCTAAATGAGGAAAAGTTGTAATTCAAAAGAAAACAAAAAGGATTTCCTTATTTGTAGCAAATACAAGACAGTTCAACAACTGTAAGAGGACTAGTGGATAAACACTTTAATATGCCTGACCAGTCTCCATGATATTAGGCATAAACACCAGTTTCAAATCAAAAAGAAATGTAGAAAGTAAGAATGCTTTCTGGGTAGTAACTCTGAATACTATAATCTGAATGGCATGAATCCTGATCCTAGGTCTGTAGACCTTGGAACATTTCTAAAATACTCCAAAAGTAAGTTGTTTAATTTACATACCCCATTTAACCTCTAGCTGGTCACCTTCCTTTCTTAATAATCATTACTGTTTTGTAAACCTGTAAGGGTTATTCCATGTTTTTCTTCTATTCTATTGTTTTAATGTGTTTCCACCCCTTAAAGAGCAAATAAAATATAAGTTTTAAAAGGAGGTGTTCATTTGAATTTTTAACTTTTAATTTTACTATATTCTTTACAGTTTGGTCTCTAGAATCAAGTGCTTTTGCTCATTTAAGTAAGCTAGTTATTTTAAAATTTTCTGAAAATTGTATATTACTACTTTTGATAAAAAAGTGTTAAATAACTATTAGTAACTTCCACATTCAAACTGCATAGGAATTGTTTTGTCTTTTCACAATATTCTATAATCTTATTCCCTTGTAAACAGTGTTTCTTTATTGGTTCAGAATTATATTCTAGCATTTTGCAATATTGTACAGATTATCTTATGTGATTCATGTTGATGAGACTTTATATGTACCAGTTTTATTCTTAAAGTTTTGTAATTATTAAACCTTGTTCTAAATCGTAAATATGAAATAAATCAAAAGTTGCAGTACAAAAAATGTAATCAAGACTTTTTTTAGTTTTAGTGCAATGCTCTGTCCAACATGGGGAATTGAGCCCTAGATTTTAAAGTTACAAGTCCATAAATCTTACCACTGACCCAATGGGTGACCATAATGAAGGAGCCATATACATCAAGTAAAGTTCTAAAGGTATTAAAAACAAACATTTTTACATAAAATATCATAGCTAATGAAATGCAGCTTCCAATATGTATCAAAAACCATTTTAAAAGTCACATCTCTTACATGAAAATGAAAAAAAGGACTTCCCGCATGGATGATAACACATACTGGCAGATA